ATCGTGTTGACGTTCGCCGGGATCGAAACGTTCCGCCCAAATTTCCGGCGCTGCAGGCGGACGTTCCCTGTTCGGCGATCGATGCTTTACGATTCACAATTCGCCCTTCGATACCATCAGCCCCGTTCTCGGTACGCTCGCGCGAATTTAGGTGCAATTAGTAAACACCACTAACTTCAGGTGAAATTGATAGATTTCATTTAACACTTGGCCAATCGAATGAGATCTCCCACTTAGCAGCGCATCGCTTTTTATTTTCTTTATATTTTTCTTCGTTGTTTAGCAAGTTTTGAAGTGGAGTCACTTGCAATTCAAATATGTTTCTTCATTTTATAAAACAAAGCTTTAAGTAAGAGAAAACATTCGATGCTCCTTCCACGTCTAGATTTAGCATAAACCATACAGATTGCTAACAAGCACAATAACGTTTCATTCAAACCGAACACAACTCAACAACATGTTTGTTAAACGACATTAGAAACCTTCTGTCACGATATTGTAAGGCAAGGGTTTAACCGAATCAGTTGAATGAGTTCAATTGAGGCTAATGAAAGAAGTTCCAGTTACAGTTCTTTATAGACGGTCGCCTAAGCGTTAACGCCGACTGCTAAGTAAACGCTCGAAACTCCGACGCAGTCGAAAGGGTTTCCTCGATAACGCAGAAGCTAGAAAATCTAGATTCAACGTCACTACTTCATTATCTGTCTCGTACGACCAATAAAACTTTGTCCATTCCGTACGTCACTAAGAAAACGAACGTTCAAGGTTACGTTGAAAAGACGTCAGACGAATCTGGAGACATATTAGGATTCGCTAGACTCGTTTCGATGTTTCTCTAGGCCAGACACTCGTCGCGAAACACTTGACGCTAGACGTCGTCGGCGACGAGAAGAGGAAAAAGGGAAAAACAGGCGACAGAGGGGAACAGGTGAAATTTCTCGAGAGTGAAAGGCGTTAGGAAGCGTTCGGCCGATGGCAACGGCACGACGGGGATTGCGTCACAGGGATTTTACGGGCGTGTACGTGTGCCGCATACGTCCGCGTTGACATCGATTCTGTAATTATCGGCTTTACGGTCTTTTAAAGAGGCTCGTGTAATCGGCGGGCATTCGCAATCAGCCCCGATATCATTAGTCGCGCGGAAATTATCCTCCGCTCGTCTATCCGCGTCTCTCCCATCGATCCACGGCTTCTTCTGCCGCTCCGCCTCCCGCCGGGGATCTTTCGAATCCTTCGAACCGTTCGGAATGATCGATGAGGGTCGGGTTTCGAGAGCCACGGAGAAAAATGACTCGGGCAAGAAAGGACCGACGGTATACGCGGTGTCCCGGGTTTTTCCGAATTTTCCTGTATAGGGTTGTGGCGAGAGTGTTTAAATATTTCAGACTCGTAGCATTTTTATGGAGATCGTTGTAGAAGGACGCTGTGCTTTGGATGGTAGTGAATATTTGGTGGTGAGATGTATAGTACTAGGTGGAAAATAATTGTCTGCAGAGGTATTGCCGTGGTATAGTGAAATACTAGTAGCATAGTAGTTGGAAAATATTGTACTTGGATAGTTGCACGTGTAGTTCAAAGTAGATTCTTTCGGAATCATTCCGAAGGTTAGTGTTAAACACTTAAATTTATATGTATGCAATTGTATTAAGTTTTCCTATGTTTCATTTCGTAACCACAGCGAATGACGGGTTTGAATATTACTGACCTATTTGTACTTTATATCTTACGAACGATAGTGTCTCATTATAGATTTTTACTATATCAATTTTCAACGATACTTCGAGTGTGATTTTATGGAACTTTTTCATGCTCGTAGTTATCGAAGGTACTGCAGCGCTCGGTCGGAAAGACACGGCACACCCTGTACATGCGTGTATACATGTATAATATCGCAATCACTTTCTCCTTAGCAGGGGGACAAGAATGTGGGGCAATGGTACTCGCGATATTATTGTGGCGAACACGATACTGCGGGGAGAGGAATATCGATTGTAGATGCGGTAAAGAGGGTCCGATGTTCTGGAGACTGATGTGATGAGATTTTCGGTGCTCGTGCGAATAGGATTGTCTTGTTACACTTCTCGATTGGTTCGGCAAGCGGTTTACTAGGTGCCTTCGGTTTCCAGCGGATCGGTGGCCAATAAAACCGGTCTAGAATACGTTAGGACGTGTACCATTTACGAATTTGGTAAATTGCTACAGTGACTTTCAAACGTTTGCCGACTCGTCGTAACGAATCGTGCATTACTTTTAACAACGAACGATGCAAATGGGAATCATTATTTATCAGAGGATCAAATCAAGCATGTTCGATTGACTGCGTAGTAATCATTCATCAATTTTCGTTAATCCATGCTCGAATGTTTCTCGTTCGAAATTCAGCAGTTCGGTACGTACAGTTTAAACGGTTCAATGATTTATTATAATGAATTCTATTCTTGAACGTTGAATGATACAAACGAGGATTATTATTCACGGGAAGATTAAAGTAGGATTATAGACAGCTCAAAATCGCGGCGATCTCCATATTCGACGGATAAAACGGCGTGATTGCAGCGCGGCCGATGTTGCGTCGGCTAATTAGAGTAGATTAAGCATAAGCATAAAGCCCGAAGGGAGTAATTGAAGGTAATGAACGTGCGAGAAGGTGAAAGAACGGGAACGGCCAGGGGAACGAAAGAAAGGAACAATTAATGGGAATGGTTAAGCATGAAAAGACGTAAAGCGACGTAATGGCGGATGGAACTGCGGGGACGGCAACAAAGTACAGACTTTAACGAAGTTTAATACAGACTTTATTTTCTTCTGTGCCTAGTAAAATCGTTAATTAACGCAATAAGTAGCCCGTGAATGCAAATGCAGAGGTCTTTATGGGCTAATTCGAGGGAACTGGATTCAAACGGACATTCGTTCCGTTTATTCAAAGTCCCGCGACACTTCGGGCCGATATAAAAATCTCGTTAAGTTTTATCAGACTATCAATCACGTGGGGTTCAATTAATTCACGGTTAATTACACTCGCTTACAAGCCACTTACCGGCGAAACTCATAGGCGATATCAAATTCCCAACTGTAATAACCGAAAGTTTCCGAACGCGCGGGAACCGAGGGCGAGCGGAATCGAACGAGAAGTCTCGCCGCCGCGGCGGAGGTTATTCTTCGCCTCGGCGACATTGGAGACGCAAATTTTTTACGGATGACGCTTAAGGAGTTAATAAATTCTCAATGTCAGGGAGCGCTCGTCAAGGACGAATTTTAATGAGCGTCATTTCATAATCTCGCGTCTCCGCGCGCAACAGCACGAAAGTCTTTCGGCGCTTTCACGTCTTCCTCGGCCTCGTGACACTTAAAATGATAAACCGCGTCATTTTTCCTGTTAGGCAGAGTTCCATACAAATACGGAACAAAAAGACACCAACGACGAACCGATGTTCATTCGAATGAATATTTACCGCGCCGTTATTTGGCTAAATTATTCCGCTAATAGAATATTATATTTTTCCATGAATACACGAGTGTTGTCAAAATCAGTTCCACCTTGTTGTTCGAATATGAATTATCAATATTTAACTTTAATCGATTCAAATGTTTCATTCGAAACATTCATATTTCGCGTTCAACGTTTACCATCATTCTCATTCCGACGTCAAACCGATCCGAATAATACCGAACGCCATGTTAGCGCAAAACGTGCACGGCGCGGTTACCGCAGAACCAGTTACCAGGCGAACAGTCGCAAGGACGGTTTCTTGCACAGTGCGGCCGTCTGAGGACAAAACCCCGGAATCCGACCTCTCGCGTAACGAAAATTGAAGGTTACCAATCTGCAGTCCTTGCCGTACAAAATCATTTCCGAAAGATCCAAAGTTCTGCGCCTGAATCTCGTTTCTCTATTCGTACAACGTCGAAATTGAAACGCAAAGAACCCATCGACATCGAGAAATCTTCCTAATTTCCCCATCCACTTAATATAATATAAAAAACACATAACCAGCACATATTCAGCTCTATACCTTGCAACTTTTGTCCGAAACATTTGTTCGTATCACCCATACTTTTCGAGTTACCGAGTTTTCCCCGGAAAACGGCCATTCGGCCGCGCCGCGCGTTGCGTAGGACCGTTTTAACTCTGAATTGTCGGCCGTCTAATCCGGTTGCGCGTGCGGATTAAGCGTGTTGGAACAGGGCCGGCCGAGTTAAGCGGCCGGTCGTCCCCTAAGTCTAGATTTCGGCCGCCTTAGGCGCGCGCGTTCCCGGCCGCGAGGCAAATTTGCATTAACTTCGGATTAAAGGGTGGCGGACGGGTTAAATCTGGATCGGAACCCGGTTAGATCGGCGGAATATTAAATTTCGATATTATCAGGAGCCACGACGCGACGCGGCGCGGTGCGGCGCGGCGCTCGGGGGAAAAGGGCCGCCGCCGACGCGATGCGATGCCCGGCTCCATCACTCCCGAGAGCCACTTAACTCGGAATCGCGTTACTAATTGCGTCCTATTAACTGTCCACAATCAGATTCACGATCTTCTATTCTGTTACACGCCACTCGACCTTCCCACTCGACTGACCCGACTTATCCCCGTTGGAGAACCGGGAAATCGGCCGCGCATCGATCGATCTTACTCCTCAGAAATTCCCTGCGTCTTGCTATTATTCGAAACCGTTCACGTTTTTCGAACGGGATCTTTTGGAATGTTAGACATTTTAACCGAATTAGACACCGTTGAATCGTGGAAGATACGAATATTCTTTGGGTGAAATTCTTTGATAGTACCTAGTTGGTAACACTAAACGAGTATTTCGCTCGAGCGAGCACTAATTATCTGGTAACAACGCTTCCGAACAATAGAATCGTACGAGATCTCGCAACAATTACCCGTAGAATCCGAAGCCGATGCTCGAAATGTTCGAAATTCCTGTAGAACGTTTCGTTACTGACTGCTGCGCGATGCGAAATCGTTAGACAACCACCGTCTACCTCGCGTATCGAGCTCTATGCGTGTTCTTAACGCAAACCAGTTTACGAAATGCGTTATCGATGACAAGCATTGAACGGCAGCGGTACAAGGTACACACCGCGGGCTGAACAACAAGGTGAATTTCCAACGTGGAGCGCCGACACGTATTTTTTTTCCTCCCGCCCCGTGGCCGCTTTCATTCTCTCGGCCGGCGCGTACAGCATATTTTTCGAAACACCGGGAACCGGTTCTCCCCTCCGGTTCGCGCCCCCTTTCCCTCGTCCCGTTTCGATACACGGGAATCCATCGGCCGTGTCTCTCTTCTCGATTTTCCTGCCGCGGCGCGGAACAATTTTTCGAGGGGAATGAAAGACGTTTCTGCAAGCGACAACTTCGTCGGCGCTAAATTATTCTTTCCTAGGCCGCGCGCGTCTCGCTGCCGGCGGCCCCGTCGGCCATTCATATTTCTTACGTTGCCGAATCGGCGCCGATCGGTTCTTTTGTTTCAAAGCTGACCCCTCGAACGGGCGGCTCTGCGATAATACCGGCGGAGCCGAGCTTCCAATTTCTTTCAATTTCTCTGGATTTCAGTCGTTAGAGTTATCGATATCTTTTTCTACCTCGACTCCTTCGAGTTCTATGCTTAGAGTCGAGGATACTCGGAGTTATCGATGTATGGACGTGTCAATGCTTTGGTTGCCAGTGTTTAGAATGATCAATATTTTCAGTTACCAATATGTAGAATTATCAATATTTAGGGTCATCAGTAATCAGAGTTGACGATATTAAGAGTTACCAATTCTTAGAGTTATCAATATTCCGAGTTACCAATACTTAGAGTTATCAATATTTCTGGTTACCAATACTTAGAGTTATCAATATTTCGAGTTACCAATACTTAGAGTTATCAATATTCCGAGTTACCAGCAACCAAAGCTAACAATACTTTCAGTTATTAACATTTTGAGTTCACAATAGTTTCAGTTATCAATATTCAGAGCCATCAAATATCAGAGTCAACAATATCCCGAATTTCCAAAGTCATTCCACCGTAAAATGGAACGCACGCAGAGAAATGACAGTATTACCTCATTACCTGGCACACTCCCATTCCCGCGGAGAGACACACAACGAGGCAACTGTCTCGTCCGAGATCTCTCAGTCCCAGTTCCTTCGCAAAACTTTTTACCTTGCGATAGAACGCGAATTCCGTCGCGGCAACGTACAACGGGGGAACCTCATTGTTTGTCCCGGCGCGAGAGAAAGCCGCTCGTGGAATATTCAGACGGAAATCGTGAAATCGCCGCGAACACTTTTACCCCGAAATTTCGCGAAAGTAAAGGGAATTACCTCCGAGGAACCCCGGGAACTCTATTATGCAGGAGCCGTTTGATCTCCAGGGCAAAGATATCGCCGTGCCGGCGGGGTCGCGTGACTTTTCGGATATCCTGTTGCACGCGGGGCGCAACAGTCACGCGACCGGTCTCGTTTCCCCGGCGGCCGACGCGAAAAAGCGCAGCCTCCCTCGCCCCCGCGCGTTTCGAAACACCGCCGCGACTTACGCCTAGAAATTGCAGAATGCAACGGAATCCAACGAGAACGCTCGCCGAAAAGCCATCGGCGAGGCAATAAATACCCGGTATTATTGATTAAACGTTGAAAAGTGCACGGTTTAATGTGTAAATTATAGAAAATTGCGCGATTTGCATGGCAATGTATGGAGATTGCTCGCTATCTCGAAGCTTCCGGGTAAAAGCGCTGATAATTCGGCTCGATTATTTTTCGTAAGCAGCTGAAAATATTTCTGTATCGCATTGCTGTTTTATTCAAATTTCAATCGAGCTGTTATCGTTTCTTATAGTCTCTCGGCTGCTGTTCTCGATCGACTGCGAATTTCTATCGTCCCAGACGATTTTCCGGAAAACGGTGAACAATAGTTTCATCTCGAAACAGTAGTTCCTCTGCAGTAATAGACTGCAATCTTAAGCTCTATCAATCTTCGTGCTCTAGTCGTTCAACAACTGGAAACAACCACGACTGAACGCAGATCTATAATCTATTCGTTAACTTCGTTTTAAGATACATTATTCATTAGCCTCGTTGTCTGGCGCGACTTCGAGCTGCGCAGCTTCTAAAATGCTCACTTGTTTTCCGCTCGATTCTAGATCGCTATCGTTTTCCTCGCCGTGGTGGCCTGCGCTTTGGCGGACGAGAAATACACCACCAAGTACGACAACATCGATCTGGATCAGATCCTGAGGAGCGACCGTCTGCTGAACAACTACGTAAACTGCCTGTTGGAGAAGGGAAGCTGCACTCCTGACGGCAAGGAGCTTAAAAGTGAGTAAACGTTCGGGTATCGGTTAACGCGGGCACGTTGCCTGCGCGATGCCTTCCGTCCTACGTCCTCTTCCCAATTACTGTCTTAGATCACCGTCGATGCCGCCTTTGACAGAGTGTCTATCGATCTCCTGAATTTTTCCATCGTTCTAGAACCTTTCTTTCCTCTCTTTTTGCAATGAACTCGCGTCTACGATGAATCTACAATGAATCATCTCTTTCTAAACGTATAACTTCTACTTCCTTGCAATTTTTGTAAAACGAATCTTCAACTAGTTGTGGAAACCTTTTAAAATAGAATTTTCCAGAATTAAATTTTTATCTATTCGCGCTGCAATCAAGTTGGCAGCTTAGGCTGTCAAAGCTAGAGCTAGATAGAAGGTTAACCCTTTGCACTCGGAAGATTTTCAATGGAAATATTTTGTCTCTAATTTTGTCTCTAACGCGTAGCCGTGATTAAGATATATTTTCGAATCTGCGTCGGGAATTTCGCGTCCGTTCCGACTAGATACACGCGACATTCTTCTATGCATTTATCGAGTACCGCGCTCAGCGGCGCAGCATTCCGCTCGCCGGCGGATCGAGGAAACATGTCACGCGAGCTGACGTTGTTAACGCGTCCATTTTCTTTTTATCATCGTTATCGGGCTCCAGAGAACGCACCGCGCAGCCATCGATACGCGTTCGTGACTAGGAGGGAACGAGGAATACGTTAGGCGCGAAGCTGGCTACCGCGAGAAAGACCCGCGGCTAGCAATTAAAACATACTGGGACGTGAGATAAAGTCCGCGGAAAGGGACGCGAGCGGCGTTTCCAGCGTAAGGAGAACTAGTCCCCGCAACACTTTCAGTAGAAAAATTTCTGACGCGACAAAGGGAGCTCTTATTTCAAACATTTCTATTTAAGGGTCGCAGGAACCTGCCCTTAAGGCTTCAATTTAATTATTCTCCGTATCTTTTAATTCTCCTTATAACCGAGTCGATTAGATTCATTCTATCCTCTGCAATTTCCTAAAAGAAAGAATCGCTTCTCTCGAATGTTATCGAGAGAAAATTCTTGTCTTATGCAACTATTCTCGAGTAATTAGATGAAATGTTCATGCTATCACATTAACACTAGAACTAGTCAAAATTACTAGTTTTCGGTTTTGTTTAATTATTGATACCTCAAATAAACGAGACGAATATGTAAAAATCTCCACTTGAATAACGAATGTAGAATCTGAGAGTCTGTTACAATTTTTACATGCGAGTCATTAAATACTCGGTAGTTCTATTGTTAAGGGAGCAAGCTTTATTAATCAATTAAAAAGGAAACCATTGAAAATCGCGAAACTAACGGCTCGTTTAATTGATTCGAAAACGGTGGAAAAGAATCGGTGGGAAGTGGATCGTCGGCGAGCCGCGAGTCGCATAAATCGCTGCCGGAAACTAGCAGGCAAATTTCCCGCGGTATTTTTCTATTCCACGGATCTCGGCTTTAATCTATCTCGCTCCTCTCTCCCCGAGGTGCGCGACTTGTTTTATTGTACGGACTTCTAACGTTCCCGGTTACTCGGTCTTAAGGGACCCCTAGCCTCGAGATCCAATAAGCAATGCTCTCTTTCCTATTTTCCCTTCTCGCCGTTTTGCTGCTCACCCTCCCCCCTTCTCCAACGCCTTTTTCCGACTTCTTTCCTCTTTTCAGACGACTTGTTTCCATCATGAACGCAGCTGGTGCCCTCGCGAATCCTGGGTCCTCCCTTTGAATCGCTGCTGATCGATTTAACCCTTAACGCATTGTCTCCAACTATCGAATAGTTCGTCTATGATTGGTAATTAAAGACTTCATGAGATTTTTAACCCTTTGCACTCGAGAGGCGACTGATGGACTGAACAGGCGCGAGATGATTCGATACAGTGAAATTATAAACTTTTGTATTTACCATTTAATACGTGAAATATTGAAAGGAAATAGCTTTGTCCCGTAATTTATGTGTGATTTCTTGAAATTTATTTTGAATCTTGTCTACATCTAACTGGAAAGTACTGAATATTTCAAGCGGAGAACTTTCGAGTGCAAAGGGTTAACACGGTTGTATGACATGATCCAAATATTAAGGCTACATGTAGGTAATATATTATTTGCTATCGTATACCGATAACCTAGTTTAAACGTGACATTAATTTAAAATTTTAATCTACCGAGACTTTAGTTGATTCATAATTCAACTCGCGTGTTGCTAAATTAATTTCTGTAATAATTCCTCGGCGAAACATCTGTCATCTCTGGAATAATTGCGAAAAGAAGAAATCGGGAACGGGTTATCTTGTTTCGTCTGGAAGTTATAATGTTAATATAAATCATGGCAAGCCTGTTAATCGTTGTCTGATAGGTAAAGTGTTAATGGTCGAGCTCTTCAGCTTTGGGAACCCCTGACCTGTTCAATTGGTTATCCCATTCTACCACCATTAGCCGACTACTCGCTCTCTCCGGGGATATTGAATTAGGAGTACGTGAATCACTCGGCCGCGACAACGCGCGTAGAACTGGTTCAATTTGACACACTGGTTTGTAACCAGGCATCCTGCTCTGGATTTGTGTTGCGGAGCAACGCGGCGATCGATCATGTATCAGATGTTTGGTTCTACTTAGCTCTTCGAGGTGTATTACATTAATATTCAGCCAGATTGCGCTCGAGTGGAACGAGAAATCTTTCCTCGAACCTTCGAAACTATCATCGAAGAAAATATATTAACATTATCATTCTTACGTTTGCTATTACAATTCTATCCTCAAACAATAGAACACCTCGAAGCACTCTGAGGAAACTAGATCTGCGATCTTCCGATAATACCAAGAATCATCAGGATCATTTCACAACCTTCGAACATTAACTCTTTACAGAGAACAGTTCACACTTCCGAAAATCTTTCCCTAAGAAATCTGAGTCGCCTCGAAATCTAAAATACTAGAAACATCTACACACGTCCCTCGTATTTAAACAATCGAATGATTCATGTCGAATTTAAACGTCGAACCTTGAAGTCTCCATTACAGCGGCGTTCGACCGCAAAGGACCATCTATCTCTCTTCATCTAAAAGCTTGCTCCGTCTCGCAGAAACCATTCCCAATTTTGCAAGCTATTTTGGCGGTGCGGGGTGGGCAATAAAGGTACTCGAGGCGCCTAGTCGTTGACAAGACTCCTCCAAAGGAGCGTACGCGGCCGGAAGCGCGGCCGGCGTCGTTGATGGAAAGTTTGCGGGCTACCGCGCGGTTCTAGCCCGCTGTCAAACATTGGACGAGGGTCAAAGTCGGGCTGGCCGGCCGAAAAAGAAGCGGATCGCGGGACCGCAGCTTCCTGGCCGGCTCTTCCGCCCCCGGACATTCAACCGCTCCTCCCCTCCGACCTCGTTCGACCGTCGCCGCCGCCGTTCCCCGGGGAATCGGACCGGTGTTTCGTAGCCACGGTCGAACGCACGAAAGACAAACGTTCCTCCCCGTTTTCTCCGTTCTCCTCGGATCAAGAGCGTTTACACGCACGGCCCTCTTGATAAACGAGCCGCCTGTGCGAGAGGAATCGCGCGATTCCGATTGATTCACCGTTCGGGAAATTGGATGGCTGGTCTTGAGGGGACACGGACCGAGGAGACGAGCTCGCGCGAGAGGAAAACAGGGAATCTCCGACTGGATGCCCGCGGTGGAGGTGCTTTGGGAAACAAGTGTCCCGAGTTTGAATAAAACGGGGGAATAGAGGAGTCGAAAAAATCGTTCCACGGCGCCTGGAACGACCGGCCGGAAGGACCGAGTCTCGGACACTATTGTCAACGATACCGCGAAGAATGATCTTCGTCCCGAGAGGGCAAGCTGTTCTCTTGACTCGGGAACTGGATTCTGGGGAAGTGTGATTTATCGTGCCCACGAGTACTTTCCAGTTTCATTTTCTGCGGGGGAACTTCGGAAGCCGAAAGTTTCGTGTCACGCGGAGGGCATTAGCATTTCGATTAGGTGCTTCGGTGGCAAGTGGGTCTTCGGGATACGGTTGGATCGCTACGTGTTTGTAACTTCTGAAGATTTAAATTAAATGGGATTCGATTGAGCGACAGAGGATTTTTAGTTGAACGAAAGCGGGGACGCCGGAGATGACATCGGGGAACGGGGGAATGTTTAGGGGCTATTCGGAAGCGATGAAACTTCGAAATAGTTACGAGCGATCGATTAGTCCGAATGGAACTAGGATATTTGTCTGCGACAGCTGAATTGGATAATAAAAGCAGCAACGTTTCACTCGCGCTGTTATCTCAGCTTCTGCGGGCCGAGTGTTGACGGCCGGCTCGCGGTTCCAGGTGGCAACCGTTCGGGCGCTTATCAATGCATCGCTACCTGTTGGCTTGCGGTGCACTTTTTAATTCAAGCACGTTTCACCCTGCCAGAAAGGAATCCAATATAATACAGTCATGTTATTATACTCCCCGCGATTCCATCGCGAGCGATGAAAAGTCACATTTCAGAGTTTTATTCGAACCAATGTAGATCATCCTTCACACCTCCTTTTGATGGCAACAGAGAAGCTTAAAAACTTCCACTGTATAATCTCGTCTCTTGAAGTTTCAAACTGGTTCGTTGAGTAGATTTGAAATATTCCATTCAATGCGGTGTATTAACTTTTTCAACTAAAATTCAGCGAAATTTCAAAGAATGGAAAACGAGGATCAAAGAGAAGCGAAAGATTAACGGGAGAGTACAATTTAAAAATGAGAAATTATCTTTCGAATCGACTTCCGAGAGATTCTCTGCTCTTTATCAAGCATTTAAGGTGTTAGCAAGTTGACTAGAATAAAGATGGCGTGTCTAGCGCCGCCATTACGCGCGAAGACGTGACCGAGAGAAAGATGGCCGCCGTTCCGTCTTGCTCCGGGAGCGAGCTGAACGCGGGTGGCTCGGTTATCGCTCGTCTGCTGGATATCTTAATTGAATCGAAAATTATTTCTACACCGAGCGCCGGCTAACGAATCGCCGCGAGACACGGGACCGTCGATGTAGAATATTTATCGCGTCCGCGATTATTCTTTCGGATTATCCGGCCGGAGGAGCGTTCCGCGAGCAACTCGGTCGTCTCGGGGATTAAACCCAGGAAAAGATTTCAACGCTCGACGAGGAATTTTCATCGCGATCCACGTCTTCGCGGACGGATGTTATTCGAGCCACGATCGGATTTAATCTAGAGCAAAATTCTGCTCGAGAAACGGACGGAGGTTGAACTTCCAGGCGACCGGGTTCGCTTCGAATTAATTCTGATGTTACTTGGCATAGGGATCGGTGTGGATGATAATCGATTCGATTTTTATAGAATTGAAACTTCTCGTTTATCAGTGATCGGTACTGATTACTGATCGATAGAATTTTTAACACGTCGACGCTTATTTTGAAGTCATACTTTTAGAATAAAATTACTATATTTTCTCATTTATAATACTAAGAACAAAGGACGGCCAAGTCAATGAAACAAGTCAACGAAACACGTGAAATTTGTCATTTTTTAATTATTCCTGCAAAACATACTTCCTCAAAATTAATAACCTGATTCAACATCTCGATACATTTCTAATTTAATAAAGTCTCACATCTCAATCCTCGCGAGAGATCGAAATCCGTTCCCAAAAAATCTCGATCCTCGAGTCGCGTCGTTTCAGTGTACGACAAAGGGCACACGTGAAATGATTAACGATACCTCTGTTCCGGAATGTCCGAATCGCCGGCGCGTATCTCCGATCCCCATCTTCTCCTCGTAAACGTCGACTGGTGTCGGCTCATCAAGACAGATTTCCTCCCCGATCTTTTTCACTATCGCCGGACTGTTGACCGTAGCGAAACGTGCGACGGACGGGGCGATACTTTGTCAGGGGAATATAGTCCTTGTCTCGGAGAATTCACGGACGATATGCCCGGCCGGTACTGACCAGACCAGCTGGTGCAAATGACGCGCCGGCAAAAAACCCGGGGCGAACATTGGTCCACGGAAAGACTCCGACTCTGTAAACCATCGTTCGCCGACCTCCTCCCCCGCACTCGCTCGCGAAGTGAGCTACTTTATGAACTTCGCCCTCTGAAGATCGAAGCGGCCGTAGAGCGCGCCATATGGAAAATATTATAATGGCGACTTCGTCCTGAACGCCGCTCTGTTTTATGGCTCTCGTCCGCGTTTCGAAATACTGTGGACGTTCAATGATGAACTGGACTTCATTCGCGTATGCATTTTTCTTTAGACGTTTCGTTACGGGAATTTTTCAATTGGACATGTAGATATTGTAATCATGTTGTGATTATTGGGAATAACATCGACAATAATTTCTTCACTATTCGAAGATTACGAGAATTGATCGGTCTTACCTCGATTACATAGATTACTCTAACGAATTCGAATTACACTCACATTAATCTAATCCTCCTATAAAACTGGTACAGTTCATCGTCGAGCTGTACTCTGTATAATAATGAAAAAAGTTGAATGAAGATCAACAATTGGTAGCCGAAAGATTAGCTCCGAAAGTTCCTCGAGGAACTTCCTAAGGGATCAAACACGCGACGGTCCCCTTATTTCGCTCGTTTCCGATGTGTTCGTAGAGCGAGGGACCGAGAAGTTCGCTCGGCCGTCCGTCTGTTTTCTCTTCTTAACGTAATTAAAATTTCAGAGTAACGAAGACGCCGCCTTTTTGTCCCGGCGATCGATGAGCGAGTTAAGGGGCGACTCGTTAGTCCAACCCCCGTGAATTTTCTAATTTATTTAGAAATTCCGTTGGCAACCCTTCTTTCGCGACTCGCGGCAAGTTGACGGCACAGCAATTATCAGGGAGAGATCGCATTACCCCCGATCCCGGTAATTAACACAGTTTCAGAGCCGTAATTCACTCGCGCCCTCGCTCATAGTCGCTTCGGGAAATTCTTTATCGCTTCCTCGGTCCCTCTACTTCTCGGGATTCCCCCAGGAGCTGTCGATTACGCGGAATCTAGGGTTCGGGACTCCCGCACGGAATAAATAAAGAGGCTCGCGGCCGCCCGGGTAACCTATTTAAAAGCACTTCGTCATATTTTCATGTTTCACCGGCCCCGGGCGATGATGAATGATGGTGGCGCCCGTTAGACCGCTTCAAGCGATAAATCGGGCGGGCAGCCTCGAATTTTCACGCGACAGTTTGCTTCCCGCGGGTCTCAATGTTTCCTGTTCACGCTTTTGTGCAGCACGGTTCGATTAGATGTTAAACATCTAATAACCGAAGTATTCGCACCTAATATCGAATATTTCCTAAACGGGATTACTCTTCGTTCAACCTATATTTGCATTTGTTCCATCGAATCTCTTGTTTTACGTTAGTAATACGTTCGCGATAATAGAATTCCTTGAACTCTTCCATGTTGAAATTTGTGCAGTACTACATTTCTCGGCAATAACGCGCGAAATTCCTTATAGACGATTCAGAAATTCCTTTACCAATACTCTCACAACCTCTCGTCCCTGTATTTACAAAGAAATATCTTCAGTTTAATATCTGTTCTCTTACATCGCGATGTTTATAACGCAAACGGTTAATCCGATGTTTCAGAGACCCTGCCGGACGCGCTGGAGAACGCGTGCAGCAAGTGCAGCGAGAAGCAGAAGAAGGGCAGCGATAAGGTCATCCAGTATCTGGTAAAAGAGGTACGTTCACCGACGGATTGCGCCGCACCGTCACTTTTCCGCGGCTAATTGCTCGCGGATTCGCGTCCGCGAGCGGCGGCCCGATCAGGAACGCGTTCCCGGCATATCGTGGAACTGGTTTGACTTTCACGAGACGTCCGGCGCCCGTTTGACCCTCGGACTCGGCGAACTTTCCTCCACGGGTCGAATAATTCCGCTGGGATCGCCCTCGTCGTGGCAATTTACCCTCGCCCAAACCCCTTCAGGGTTCGACGAGTCCGCCCTCGCTTGATAATCGTTAACCTGTGCCCTGGAACAACCGGTTAATCCGTTCCCCGTACGCCTAACTTCGTCAACGAACGTTTGCTGCTCTCTCCGTTACTCCCATCGTCGTTTTTTCTTTGCCGAACCTTCGTTTTCTTGCCCTTGACGTTATCGAATTTACGTAATACCTCTGACATTGATTGTACAATCATTGCTAGGGCACTTTTTGCTCAGAATTTACTGTTTCTGAAGTTGATTAGGAGTCAGAGGTTTGAAGAACGTGTATATATGTTATTGGAAACAAATGTTTGAGACGTAATTTTAAATATCGGTAGTAGATGCATTTGTTGAGTTTTCACTTATGTTTTCGTTTTGAAAAGGAAACTTTCATTGAGTTTTTCTGGAGTGAAGGCACGAAACGAACGGAGCCTTCTTTTATAATTAACTATTCTACAATGGGTTGCAAAATATTTCTATTGGGAAATTCGGTGTTAGCGCTCTCAGTGGAACACAAAGGAAATTTCCTTTCTATTAGACACGGTCCACCGTCTGTCAATCTCGGTAACGAACGATTTAAACTCTCGCGGACTGATCCCCACCTCTGCCCGGTAACTTTTAATTGATCCTACGCGCGCCGATTCCGTCTTGTTGACATTCTTGTTTTTCCGCTTCGTTAACGGGGAACGTAATTAATCCCATTATGAAGGGGCACGGCGAGAGCGGTTCACTTGATAATTTTATAACTATACGCCGCCGCTTTATTCTCTTGCTGCAAATATTTTATTCGTTCGTTTTCCGACGTAGCTTCGCTGTAACGATTGTTATAGTCTTGGAGCTTACCTATTGTTAACGCCTCGACCACCATGTTTAGACGTCAGTTGAAAATAAACGTTTCGAACGAAACGTTGAATGAAATGAATTTAATTGAGAACATGGAACGGCTACACCTTTGCGCCGAGATCTTTTGTTGAAAAGCACTGGAACTTTGGATCTATATATCTTATGGGATCGGTGGGGAATTCAGATTGCTATTCAGTTAATGTTCTGTTAGGGTAATAGAAGAGAACAAACGGTGAAGTTCGGGAGAAAAGAGAATGAAGCGAGATCTCGAACGTCGATTGTTAAGTGGAAGACGAAGTTAAAGAGATTCTTTGTTTCCTGTTTCAGCGTCCGCAAGTGTGGGAGAGACTGTCGAAGAAGTACGACCCGACCGGCGACTACACGCGCAAGTACAAGGATGAAGCCAACAAGCGCGGAATCAAATTGTAAATTATTCGTACTATAAATTTCCCTTTCGAGGATGCCTAAGTGCCACGCTCCAATCAAACACAAAAGAAAACATGACATTTTGCTCACATTCGATTCCTTTGAATTGTACCTATGTTGATCTATTTGGAGAATAAACGTTGTATAAAATAAACCTAAGATACAAGAGTGTTCAATTGCTCGGAATACCGTGGAAACGGATGATCCTTGCTTCTTAGAAAATTTACTTCGAATTAACTATCAAGCAGAGGAAAGAAGATCGCCGGAGGACAATGAGATTTACGGACAATAGACCGAAGCATCAAACCAAACCAGAGCGAAGCGACGAAACCAGTTGTCCAGATGTGTATTGTGAACCTACTTTAATTTCCTGTAACAATCAACAAGGAAGAGAACGACGGACGAGGGAAAAGGACTCGTCTCTCCGAAGGCTCCGAAAAACAAAGAAAACTCCTCGGCGTCTTGCCGTGTGCCTTCTTCCATCTCGGTTCAATTATTCCTGCGATTGTCTTGCGTGTTGGAAACAATTGGCCCGATTTCACGCCGCGTTCGTCATCCATATCAATGAACAAAGGAATTTCATGAAATTTATTCAATCGAACCACTCGATTAATAAACTCATAATTAATAATTTAGTAAGAAAAAGAACAGGTTCAAAGGCATATTCTATATCAATCTCTGCTCCAAAGTATAATAATCGATGATAGAAGAATAATATTAAATTTGAATTTAAAGAGATTAAATAAACAAGTTAAGCTTTATGTCAGTACATAACGAATATTTGGATTACATTAATAGATTTGGTTTCGTTACAAAAATGGAGATGTCTGCTAGAAATGATCATTATTGATTGGTATTGGTTTACCATTAACACTAGAACTACCGCGGATTTAAAACGATTGATATGTAATCCCTATAAAAATTGCAGCAATAAATTGTTTTCGGTTTCTTCAAACATTCATTATAGTATTCAAGTGAATCTATTTATTTTCAAGATCATTTCGGATATTCAATGCTTTAGATATCAATACTTCCAATACAATCGAAACCAGTCATTTTGACTGGTACGGTAGTTCTAGTGTTAAACGCGACATTGAATCTATATAAAGTGCCATTAAAGGTTAACACTCGCAGGCAAATAGGGTTAAAGGTGGACGGAGAAGAGCGAAAAGCGCTTTCGCCGCCTTCATCCGGGCCGGATCACCGAAATGACTCGCGGCACTCGAACGGCTAATATCGAATCGGAAAAATCCGGCGGCCCCGGGTCAATCCGGAGATTTGTATGCGCGGAACGTGCGCCGAGTTCTTCCGGTTCCCCGGCGAACCGTTTACCAGTTACCCCCACCGGCGACCTGCGACCGAATCACGATTTGTCGACCGCGTGCCGAGCGGACACCGAACTTCTTCGACACCCTCCGCTCGGAAGAAAGATCTCGGGAACTCGAGTGACTCCGTGAATCGGCGGGAAGTGCGATTGAAAGCGGAAACTGCGAATCCCGACGCTTCGGCGTGGAGTTTGATTCCGGGCGTCACTTCGCTGCCCGGGGAAATTTGAATGTTATCGGGGCGATGCGCTTAAAAAGATGATTCTTCTTTACGGATAGAACAGGGGATGAAGCGGAGCGAAAATGCGAATCCTTTGGAAAGGGGCTTGGGAATAAGTGGAACTGTCCTGTTTTATAACTGGGGTTCCTTCATTTGTGGGTTTGCATACTAAAGTTACCTAGGAGTAAATAAATTAGATGTTTGAATAGAATGTCGGTTTTAATAGATTTTCGTGTATCGAAGGTATTATGGAAGAAATAAACTAACCCTTTGCACTCGAAAGATTTTCACTAGAAATATTCAATATTTTTCGATGAGATACCCTATGCAAAGGGTTAATAGTTTGATTTAATAGTACTACTGTTCTAGTCAGAATGACTGGATTTCTTTGTTCCGCAATTATTGATATAAAAGCATTCAATATTCGAAATGATCTTGAAAATAGTTTCTCTTGAATATTCTAATGAATGTCTGAAGAAACTGAAAATAATCTGTTACAATTTTTATAGGGATTATATGTGAATCGTATTAAACGCTCGGTAGTTCTAGCGTTGAGGAATATTTGTGAAAATCTGTGGTCTATTTACTGCAGTAATTTTCTTTTCGCTAGCGGTATAGGTGTCGAACGTTGTCGTCCGTTGTTCACGGTCGAAAGCCAAAAGGAACTGTTTAGAGGTACTCAGGATCTCGTTCCCGGCGAAATTAAGAAATACACGGGTCGGAAGTTCCGTCCCGATCTAATACCACTTTCCGCCCCTTTAGTTCGGAAGCGACCGGTTGAAACCGACTCTTATCGGCTTGATAGTCATAAAGTTTCATTGTCTTTCGAAAATTCAATTACCCGGGCAGAGGCCCGACACCGGGCTTAATTTTTCTTCGAGTTAACGGAAGCACTTCCCGGCTACTTATCGAAGTAGTTTCAACTCGTTAGTTCGCGAACTAGGATCCGGCGTTGAATACAGTTTCACCCCGGACAGTGGGGAAAGCTCTGAGTAATGAATTAATTTTAGAGCTTATTATTCGGATAAATTGCTCGAATAAAATGCAGCCCCTCCGACCGGTGACTTTGATAAATACTGTTATCAATATCGAATCGTTCCATCGAATTTCCATCTAAACAATCGCTCTTTATTCTAGAAAATTCAATCGATGGAAATATCGCGATGTTATTGTTGTAACATTTACAATTAACACGTTAAGTGTTCTCATAAGTCACTCGTTATTTACGTTACGGTATTTTCCAGCAACTAAACTTGAAACGCTGCCGGCCCGTGAAGGGTCAAATCTCATTCACGTGTATCGAAAAATCAAACGCTCCGGAGTCCAATGGCGTCCCCATAAATCCTGCTTGCTTATCGATTCCGACACACGTTCGAGCAACTTAAACAATCGTTTGCCGAGTACAGCCGACGGCAATCGGCTCCCCCGGCGACCGGAAACTAGGATGTTGCTGCAGTTACAGGGGGCCGTGAATATTTAAAGAAAAGCACGGCCGTACCCGGGCCTCCTTCACCGTGGGGAACAGTCAGTTTCGAGTGCATACAGTCAGCAACAAAAATATTCAACCGTTGCGTGCTACGCTTGTCAAAGTAACAAAACAACGAACCAATGTTCCTCAGTTTCTCTTCGTCTTACACAGAACTAACGCGCGTACGCGTTGAATTCCCCTAAACGCAATTTATCTCGATGGATCGCAATGAACGTACAATTCTTCCACGGTAATTCATTTTTCACCTCATCGAACGAATGTTTCCGGTGCCGACTGTACATACGTACGTATTTGCTTATGTACAACGACGCTCGCGAGTCACGGTCAGCGAATAATTTATTTGCGAGCCGCGGTCGGGTCGGTTCGACACTTCGGAAGTGATAAATCCCGGGCAACAATGCCGAACAAAAGTTTCGGCCGGCGAAGTTTGAAGCCTGAACGTCGCCCTTGAGACCGTTCGCTTAATTTCCTGACGCTGTCTGTCCGCGAATATATACGCGACCCATGCGATCGCTCGCTCGCGCGCGACCGCCATCATTCTTCCCGGAGACTTTGAAAACAATTTCGTGTACACGTCCGCCTTTCCCCCGCCTCGATTCCGAGAGAGACAGCTTCTCCACCCCGATCTTTGAATTTTTCACGAGCGAGCTCTTGATAAATCGCCCGCGCGAGAATTATTGGGGCTGGAACAATCAAAGTTTTCGTGGAGGCTTTTGAGTCGAGAATTTCGGACGAACGTGGATGGATGTGACGTTGATGTATTAATTCGTTGAATATTTGATATTCACCGTTATGAGTTACGAGTTACGATTATTAACAATAGACGAACCATCGGATTCTAATTGAACACAGTTGAATTTAGCAATACTATTTAACTTGCAGGGATTAGGGGAGAATATTTTAAAATACAGAAAATAAATGTTTTCATTTGCGAACGTAAACCAAACGAGAAGTACCGAGGAAAGTTTCGCAGGAACATTTTACGAAGTAATGCACAGGAACATTAAACAGCTCTGTACGGAAGCAAATTCGCATTCGCGGAAACAACGTAACACGCGTCGTTTACACGTGCGCAACGAGTCCCGCGATTACTCGCATGGACTCACCCCCTGTCTCGCCCCTTTGCTCATTTCAGTTCGCGCTAGCTGCCGGAACTTCTTTAAATATTCATCCCCTTTATTCCGTTGAAAGATTACTTCTTCCTTTCTTCTACAATTTTTTTTCCCCGCCGACCGGAGCTCGGGATATAGGGGTTAGATCGATCGCGCCGGTTCCGAACGAATTTCCCCCCAAACGCGACCGAATTCGAGTCCGGGACAGATTCAAAGGATGACCGAGTTTGCTCGACCGGAAGACATTACGCCCGTTCGGGTTCATCGAGTCATCGAGAGACGAGCCTACGAGAGGATTCATCGCTGCGGCGCAAAGGGACGGATAATTATGTATCGGCCGTCGCGCTGTCTCGCTCGCCCCACAAAGGAAACAATATTTTATTTATTAACATCTTGTCCCGCCCCATCCTCGAACTTCCCCTTTGAACTCTCCCGCGAACCACTACAATCCTACCGCGGACACGATAGCTTTTTCTGCTTTTCGTTCTTGTGCTTTCTCTCTTCGGAAAGACGGTCTCCCGCTTCCCGAGCACATCCGCTTTTTATTTTAATTAGGTACTCGTCCCCCTTCGGTTTTTCCCCGTTTCGAACGCTCGTTATTGCGCGACGCGATCACATTCACGGGTCAAACATTTTGTGGACTCGCGATGGGAATGTTTCCAGCAAAGCGAGTAATTTCGGGATTATTCGGATTTCGGGTCGTGTACGTTATCCTGCGTGTTTCGCGGATTGTTCCTTGGCGCGACGAGATTTGGCGAGAGGATTTGCTGAGTTGATTTGTTACATGTCTGAGAAGGTGCGTGAGATGTTGGTGGTATCGAAAAGTGCACGGTAAAAAGTATGAGAGAAGAAATGTCCATTATTTTTAGAAATAATACGAGGAAAAGTGACGTGCGAATGTAAGTGAAAGTTAGAGGTTCTCCGGTGAAAAGTGATCACTGTCTTGTACCACGCAGCTCCTTGACGGTCTCGTCGCATCAGAAATGTATGAAATTGTTAAAATTGCCTGATGT